CTTCTCTTCTCTTCTCTTCTCTTCTCTTCTCTTCTCTTCTCTTCTCTCTCTTCTCTTCTCTTCTCTTCCCTTCCCTTCCCTTCCCTTCCCTTCCATTCCATTCCATTCTAATACATTCAACTTTAGGAATGGGCAGGATAAACATAAAGGAATAATTCAGGATAGAGCTGGAAGGGACCTCGGAGGTCTTCTAGTAGTCCAATCCTTGATCAAGCAAGAGGTCCTGGCCTATAGCATTCCAGACAAGTGGCTGTATAATCTCTTCTTAAAAGCCTCCAGTGATGAAGCAGCCACAACTTCTGGAGGCAAACTGTTCCACTGGTTAATTGTCCTTGCTGTCAGAAGTTTCTTCTTAGTTCCAGGTTGCTTCTCTCCTTGATAAAAATTTCCATCCATTGTTTCTTGTCTTCTTCTAGCCTTCTGGTGCTTTGGAAAATAGTTTGACCCATTCTTCTTTGTGGCAACCCCTCAAACACTGGAATACCACTATCATTCATGTCCTTCCTAGTCCTTCTTTTCTCTAGTCTAGCCAAACCCAAATCCTGCAACTGTTCTTCATATGTTTCAATCTCCAGGTCTTTAATAATCTTAGTTGCTACCGCTCTTAAAGTCTTAGCTTGGTCTCTTAGAAGGCATCTCAGGCATTTCAGATCTAGGAAGGACATCCAGCTTTTGCTTATCATTGCAAGCCTGGTCCATCACACACACACACACACACCACCCTGTAAGAGGTTTCCAGCAAGTTTCCCAACTCTCTTCATTTCATGTCGGACATAAATTCAGGATAAGACTTGCTGGATCAGAGCAGCATTGTTTCCAACAGGATCAGCTGGAACTCTTTACAAAAAAGAATATGAAACTTTAAGTCATGCACACTGTTATCCTCCCACACCTGTTGTTCAGAGGTACTCTATATCTAAAGATTTTGAAATGCAATTTTAAATATCATACACCACCTGTCATGTTCTGTAGGAGTTTGACTCTATTACCATACTTATAACTATTTATAAATCTCCCACTTCCAAAATTAAATCAAGAAAGCTGGCCCCATGATTATTTCTTCTCTTATTGAAAATTAAGACCTCTTTGAAGACATAACTGGAACAGGTGGCAGGTTTTTTTCTTTTAAAAAGTCTTTTCTGAGTTGAGTTTATTCAACTTAAGACATACCATGGTGTCTTCTTGGGCAAGAGTAGAGAAGCTATCTTTCTGGTTTCCTTTGCCTTCTCTTTTCAACTTTTCAATCTAGTCCACTGCCTTGGGACTTCCTGAAGTTCTTCTATCCAAATACCAACCAGATTTAGCCTTACATCACTTTCTGACCTCAGCCAGGGTCAACCATAGGGGGTCATCTGCTGCCAACCTCTTTTCAAGTTGTGCTCTGCACTTCGAGTCGAAAGTTACATTGTGTTGGACAAAAGTGCCAACTCATTAAAACACCCATGTCTGTTTCTAAGTTCACATGGCTGCTTCAATGGATCACCCCGTACTTGTACTCTTCTACAATTGTCAGAATCAGATCTAAAGCATTGCCTTGCACAACTTTGGGTGGCCCTGGAAAAAAAAAAGAGCATTCTGGTTCTGAGAATTTGTGGGACTCATAGTCACAAGTATTTTTCCTTGGAGGAGAAGGCTTGGAATCAATATCTTTGATGGCCTTTTCATTAATAAGAATGGACTTAGATTTAACCCCAATGGGCTTAGATTTAATCTGCTCCAAAGGAGGAAGAGAAAAAAAAAACCTTGGGTAGATGACTTCATCCAACTTAAGTTTGCAAGCTACGTTTTATGACTTGGTGCGTTGGGTGGACCTCACTAATCAGAGTTGATTCAACAAACCATGGTTGAACTCATCATCATTCTTGCAAAAAGTCTTTCCAATGTGTTTTGGCCCAATTCTGAAGCAGTCCAATTTGGCGTAATGGTGAATCCGCTGGACTAGAAGCTGGGCGACTGGGAATTCTAGTTCCATCTTAAGACATGAAAGCCAGTTGATGACTTTGGGGGCAGTTCCCCCTCTCTCTCGGTCTCAACCCAACCCATTTCACAGCATATTCAACAGGTTCCGATCAGTTCTAGGGAACCGGAAGCAGAAATTTTGAGTCGTTCGGAGAACTGGCCAATGCCACCTCTGACTGTCTCCGCCCCCATCTATTCTCCACCTCCCAAGTCCCAGCTGATTGGCTGGGTCTTCTTTGGTTGCCCTGCAGAGGAGAACGGAGCTGGAAAGCAGGTTAGTGGGTGTGGGGAGGGAATGGGGATTTTGCAGTAACCTTCCCCTGCCACGCCCACCAAGCCACGCTCACAGAACCAGAAGTGAAAAAAATTGAATCCCACCACTGCCTCACAGGGTTATTTTGAGGAAAACAGCAGGGGAGATCATTGTGTGCCTCTTAAGTTGTTCAAAAATAAAGGCAGGGCATCTATCTAATCTCAAATTCATTGTTTTTTCTGCTGTTTCTGTTGCTTTAGGTAAAACTAAGTGAAAAAATGATCTCTGGAACAGCTTCTCAGTGAGTACGTCTCCCTCTCCGTAGGATTTACATGAATTCAAATCTTTATTACAGCCAAAAGCCAGAGAGAAAAGACGTAACTGAAAAACCGAACAGCGAAGCTATCATTAAGCAAAAGTAATACAGGTTCTTGACTTACGACCTCAACGGAGCCCAAGGTTCCTGTTGCTAAGCGGGACAGTTGTTCAGTGAACTCTGCCCCATTTTATGACCTTGCTTGCCAGTTGTTAAGCAAACCCCTGCAGTAGTTGAGCTAATAACCCGGTTGTTAAGTGAATCTGGCTTCCCCATTGACTTTGCTTGTCAGAAGGTCACAAAAGGGGATCCCATGACCCCAGGAGACTGCAACCGTCATAAATACGAGTCAGTTGCCAGAAATCTGAATTCTGATCACCTGACCATGGGGATGCTGCAATGGTCGTAAGTATGAAAAACGGTCAGAAGTCACATTTTACTGTGCTGCTGTAATTTCCAATGGTCACTAAATGATCTGTTGCAAGTCGAGGAGGCAGCGGGGGAGGGGAGGTTCCTATGAGGCCAGCCTGCCCCATGGTTATGCAGCTCAGATTAACAGAGTTGGAAGAGACCTTGTAGGTCATCTAGTCCAACCCCCCCACCTAAGCAGGAGACCCTACGCCATTTCTGACAGATGGCAGTCCAGTCTCTTCTTGAAAGCTTCCAGGGATGAAGCTCCCACAACTTCTGAAGGCAACTTCTATTCCATGGATTGATTGCTGGTCTCACTGTCAGAAAATGTCTCCTTATTTCCAGGTTGAATCTCTCCAGGATCAGTTTCCATCCATTATTCCTTGTCTGGCCTTCAGGTGCTTTGGAAAATAGCTTGACCCCCCTCTCCTCTCTGAGGCAGCCCCTCAAATATTGGCACACTGCTATCATGTCTCCCCTGGTCCTTCTCTTCACTGGACTAGCCAAGCCCAGTTCCTGCAACTGTTCATCGTATGTTTTAGCCTCCAGTCCCCTAATCATCCTGGTTGCTCTTCTCTGCATTCAACTCTGCTTTCCTCAACTCTGAAGACGTTCCACAATATGAATAGAATAGAATAGAATATGGAATAGAATAGAATACGGAATAGAATAGAATAGAATAGAATAGAATAGAATATGGAGTAGAATAGAATATGGAATAGAATAGTATATGGAATAGAATAGAATATGGAATAGAATAGAATAGAATAGAATAGAATAGAATAGAATAGAATAGAATAGAATAGAACAGAATATGGAACAGAATAGAATATGGAATAGAATAGAATATGGAATAGAATAGAATATGGAATAGAATAGAATATGGAATAGAATCTTTATTGAGGGTGGAATAGAATAGAATCTTTATTGAGAATAGAATAGAATAGAATAGAATAGAATAGAATAGAATTCTTTTATTGGCCAAGGGTGATTTGTCTTTGGTGCAAATGCTCTCAGTGTACATAAAAGATACATTCGTCAAGAGTCAAGAATGATAAGGTATATAAGGGATGAAGGTTTGCTGTAGCCAGTGATGTTTTTAAGAGTTTTCTGCTCTGATCTCTCTTATTAATACGTTTCTGGCCTGATTGTATAGCATTCTGTCACCTTTTCTGTAGGCTTCCTCTTTGGAATGACGTAGCTGCTTAAGTTTAGCTGTGAACCAAGGTTTATTGTTACTGCATGTTCGCATATTTATCACGTTTTGCAAAAAGGAGGCAGACCCAAAGCCTCCCCCCCCAATCCCTTTAAAACTCACATACAGAAACACAGCCCATGCAGGAGTAAGTAGGTGCCCTGCCTTTAAGTATCTATCTATTTATCTATCTATCTTCTTTCCTAAAGCAGAGAGCGTGAAGCATTTTCAATGGAAGCATTCACAATTAAGCCCGTCTACATCATTAAAATGCCGGGGAAACAAAAGTGCTTCTCACATTCACAAAAAACGGCACAGGCCGAACAGCAAAAGGGGAGGGGACGCCCCAAGCTTGTACATTATTAATGCTTTTATTTTGCCTTATCTGCCCCCATCCAAAAAAAGGTTGTTTGAGAGGGCTAATAATAAATGCCAACTAAAATAAAAATTTTAAAAAAACAACAAACCACCTCATGGCTGATTGGTGCAAACAACACCGATTTATTTGCCTTTATAAACAGCATTTCCAAGCCAGACCTGGCTGTTAAAAATGTCGCTCTTTCTTTTAAATTGCTGAAAGAGAGGGAGGAAAAAGGAGGTGGAGAATTCCAGGCGACAATGGACATACCCTCCAGAGGGAGCTCTGGATATCCCAAATCTGGTTCCCCTCCTCCCCCCGCATGTAAATGGGAGCACAATGCATTCCTCGGTTCATTCCATTCTTTTATTACAGTCAAGAATTCTCCAAACATCAAAAGTGACCTATATTTTACTTATGCGGGACTCGGACCAACTCTGCCGAACTTTCCCACGGCTCGCTCGCATATTTCCCCACGATTAGATCACCTATCCGCAACACCCCACAAGTGGAGTGAGGGGATTTGGCTCCCTGAAGGACAAAACCGCCCCGTACCCCTCCAGGAATAGAAACATAAAAGATGGGCGGAGGTCAAGATGGAGGGGCCCTCCTTCCCAGCATTTCTCACCTTCAATTTTTTTTTCTTTCAGATAAGGTTTTTCTTGTGCAGAAACCAGGAGGGTGGGCTTTTAGTATTTTATTTTATTTTTAGTATTTATTTGATTTGTCAATCGCTTACAAGATACAGGTATAAGAATAAACATAGTTTTGAATACATAAGATAGATACTTATAAGAAAAATAAAAAGAAACAATAGGATAGGGACGGTAGGCACATTGGTGGGCTTATGTACAGACCTCTTAGGAAAGGGGTGAGGTCAATAGTAGACAGTCTAAGGTTAAAGTTTTTGGGGTTTGGGGAAGAAACCACAGAGTCAGGTAGAGTATTCCAGACATTGACCACTCTGTTGCTGAAGTCGTATTTTCTGCAGTCAGGTTTGGTGCGGTTAACCTTGAGTTTGTATCTATTGTGTGCTCTTGTGTTGTTATGATTAAAGCTGAAGTATTCATTGACAGCTAAGACATTGCAATGTATGATTTTATATACTATATTTAGATCGGACCGGAGGCGGCGTAGTTCTAGGTTTTCTAGGTCTAGAGTTTCAAGTCTGGTGGCATAATGTGTTCTGCAATGAGTAGAGGAGCGGAGAACTCTTCTTGTGAAATATTTCTGGACTTTTTCAATCAGATACATGATATGGGTTGCAGACTGATAAGCTGTATTCATGCATAGGTCTAGCAAATGTTTTGTATGCTCTAGTTAGTGTGATATTACCAGAGAAGAAGCTACGTAGGATTAGGTTAACAACTCTCTATGCCTTTTTGGCTATGTAGTTACAGTGGGCTCTAGCACTTAGATCATTAGAGATGAGTACTCCAAGGTCCTTGACAAAGTTTGGATCCTCAACAAGGTCTTGACTATTTAGCTTGTATTTTATTTTCTGATTTTTTTTGCCAATATGTAGGACAGAGCATTTATTTGTTGAGATTTGAAGTTGCCATTTGTTTGACCATTCTGATGCATAGTCAAGGTCTTTTTGAAGGGTAGCAGTATTGTCTGTGGTGTTGAATAGCTTTACATCATCAGCAAAGAGAACGCAGTTGCTCTTAATGTGATCACAGAGGTCATTTATGTAGAGTATGAAGAGAGTTGGTCCTAGAACACTGCCTTGGGGGACACCACTATTGACAGGTACAGAATTTGATAGGACGCTCCCAATTTTGACCATTTGTTGTCTGTTTGACAGGAATGCTTCTATCCAGTTATGTAGGTGTCCAGAGATACTGGCTTAATCGTGGAATAAATTTGGGGATAAATTTGGGGTTGCCGACAGAATTGGTGAGGTGGCCTTAGGCAGGGGGAGAGCAATGAACACATCAGCTTGATATTGACCTTTCCTTCCTTCCCTTCTTCATCCCTTCCTCTTCCCCTTCCCTCCTTCATCCCTTCCCCTTCCCTCTTTCCCTCCTTCCCTTCCTCTTCCTTTCTTCATCCCTTCCTCTTCCCTCCTTCCCGTCCCCATCTCCTTCCCTTCCCTTCTTCATCACTCCCTCTTCCCTCCTTCTTCATCCCTTCTTCTTCCCCTTCCCTTCTTCATCCCTTCCTCTTCCTTCCCTTACCACCATCTCTCCCGCCTTCTCTCCCTTCTTTTCTAGTCTTCCTTCCTTCCTCCCTCCTCCCTCCTTTCCAAGGTCATTGGTACTACAGCTCCCATCACTCCAGACAGCAGGCAGTTGAAATCCAGTGCATAAGGACTGTAAGAGACCCTGGTTACCACACATCTTCTGCAGGGAGAAGGTTGCGGTTTTAGAGACATCCAAGCTTGAATGTGGAACCCAGGTATCATCACTATCATCCTCTTTTTAACGACCCCATAATCCCTTTGTGGGGTGGAGTCTGGGCAACTGAATGGAGCTGAGTGTTTACTGGCCGGATGCCCTTCCTGTCACCAATGCGGAGTTTTGTTCAGCAGATATATTCTCAGTGTGCCCAGAAAGAGAAATATCTGCCTCTATCTAGGATCGAACTCACAGTCTCCTGATTGTGAGGTGAGAGTTCCACCTCTAGGCCACCGCCCCAATGTGGAACCCAGGCATGCAAAGCAGATATTCTATCGCAGAGCCAACTTAGTAGGCATCTCCCCATCACAACTCCTTCTCCTTGCTGTCAGTTGCTGTCTTCTCCCTCCTCTTTTCATTGTCCTTAAATCGACTCTTGATTTCATTCATCAGACCTTTGTCTAGGTCTGTAGCTTTTCCTCTCGGCTCCCAAGGTTATTCTCGCAGCCCCTTTACCCTGGCTGTTCAACATCGTCTTTACCTAGGTCAGTTACAAATCAAGTAGCTGCATCGTGTATAACCTTGGCGAATGTTAAAGCTGGTTGACTGATAGCGGAGTCCCAATATTTGAGGGGCTGCCACAGAGAAGAAGCGATCAAGCACCCGAAGGCCAGACAAGGAATAATGGATGGAAACCGAACAAGGAGAGATTCAACCTGGAAATAAGGAGAAACTTTTTGACGGTGAGAACAATCCACCAATGGAATAGAAGTTGCCTTCGGAAGTGGTGGGAGCTTCATCCCTGGAAGCTTTCAAGAAGAGACTGGACTGCCATCTGTCAGAAATGGTGTAGGGTCTCCTGCTTGGGTGGAGGATTGGACTAGATGACCTACAAGATCCCTTCCAACTCTGTTGATCTGTTTGCTTAGTTCACGGCTTCACGTTTTGAGAAATGAGTGAATTTGGTACCAAGGCAAAAGGGTTGCCTATCCAACCGCGTCACAACGATGCCTCTTTTTAATTCACAGTGCTCTGCCTCTCCCTGTCCCTAACCTCCTGGAGGGCGAAGGCTGGGCTCAACTCAGGAAGCAGCTACGGGAGTTTACCCACTCGACGCAAGTAAGTAAAACTCTCCAAGAATGTGGCCAATGTCAATCAACAAAAGGGCTTTGGGGTGCAATTTTCCAAGTCCCCCTATGGGTGGATGTGATATTGATATGCGAGAAAGACCTTGGGAGACTGGTCACAGTGTCAGGTGGAGCTCCATTCCAAATCCAAGAAAGAAATACTTAAGACTCTTTAGATTAGAGAAAAGGTGTCTTTTACTGGAATTGAAGTGGTAGCAACCGTAGAATTCTGAATCTGGGAAATTAGGCGCGCAGATCACATATACAAAGTGATGGAAATGTTCCCACCCCCAATAGTTCAAATGATTCTTCCAATTAAAAGTTGTGAACATGATCATGTGGACATCTTCAGGTGGTGATGAGGCCTCTGTCCGTTGACCTTGGCATATGCAGTTGCGCAAAGTAAGCTAAGCGAGAAATAGAAACCTAAGCAAGAATTTATACTCCCCCCCTCCTCATTTTACACAACACTAGAGTGTAACACCTCCAGCTCGCTTCCCAGACTTTACCCCCTCCTCCCCCCGTTACTTATGGCAGCCAAAAGATGCAAAGCAATAGTAGAAGATCTTGAAGGCTGACACATAGAGATGCTGCATAGGGAACAATCAGATAAGAGACAACATGGCCCACAGCTGGATAGTGGGGTGGGTTAAATGATTTAAAAGGGATCCTCCCTTAGTTACTTGGGCTGTAAAGAAGATGAAGGGCGGAAGAGCAGAGGCGGGATTCAGCAGGTTCCGGAGAACCAGTAGTGGAAATTCTGAGTAGTTCGGAGAACCGGCCAATCCCACCTCTGACTGGCCCCGCCAACCCCATCTCTTCTCTGCCTCCCGAGTCCCAGCTGATCGGCTGGGTCTTCTTTGGTTGCCCTGCACAGGAGAACGGAGCTGGGAAGCAGGTTAGTGGGGTGGGGAGGGAATGGGGATTTTGCAGTATCCTTCCCCTGACACACCCACCAAGCCACACCCACAGAACCGGTAGTAACAAACTTTGAATCCCACCACTGCGGAGTCAGGCCAGTACTTTCGAACTTGCAATATTCCGTTAATGTAGATTTACAGTAGAGTCAGTTTACCTATCTCGTCTGACATCAATCTTGCAGGTCTCTATAATTTTCTTCCACTTTATCACAAAGGGGTAATCTTGGAAGCTGGACACTGTTTTCCTTTCCTTCCCTCTTATAGCAGAGTCAATCATGAGTTTCTTTCTCATTCTCTCAGTTGTTTTCCCATCGGTTTGCTACGTAATGATATTTCCTTCAAGACCACCTGTGTACCTGTAACAAACTGTGAGAATAACCTCTAGGGGAGGAAGAGCCCCTTGTCAAAGCAACTGTCCGATTAGAGAAGTCTTGAGTGCTGAAACAGAAAAGTAATTTGAGAAAATAGCAATGGCAATAGCCCTTACTTATATACCGCTTTACGGTGCTTTTACAGCCCTCTCTAAGGGGTTTATAGAGTCAGCCTCTTGCCCCCCAACAATCTGGGTCCTCACTTTACCCACCTCGGAAGGATGGAAGGCTGAGACAACCTTGAGACAACCTTGAGCCTGGTGAGAATCGAACTGCCAAATTGCAGGTAGCTGGTAGTCAGCAGAGGTAGCCTACAGTACTGCACTCTAACCACTGCTCCTCATAACATACATCATAACATATCATTAGCCCAGTCAATTATGGTTGGGTTGGAAGGCTGAGTCAACCTTGAGCCTGGTGAGATTTGAACTGCCAAATTGCAGGCAGCCGGCAGTCAGCAGAAGTAACCTGCAGTACTGCATTCTAACCACTGTGCCACCTGTGCTCTGATTTTACCCTCCCTAGTTCCCTCTCTCTATTAAATCATTTTTTACCTAGTTATTAAATTTATTTGCCAGCCATCCCTCCTTGAAGTGACTCTTTAGGATAAGAACAAGGAGGAAAGAGGCACATTCAGAATTTCAAGATTCTGTAACTCTATAATAAAAGCAGGTTTTGGTATTTACAACGGGGATTCAAGTCTACTGTGAAGAGCTAAGAGTTCTCCTCTACAGACATTCAGTTATTGGCCATCCTTCATGCTCTCTGCTTCCTTTCTTTCCCACAACTTCAGGTGGAACTGGAAAGGGAGAGAAGCCAGCTGCTGGCCAGAGCGATGGTAGCAGAAGAGCAGGTTGCTGAACTGCAGGAATACGTGGACAAACACCTGGTGAGGTGAGACCAAAGACCATTTCTTTGGGCCTATAACATGGTCGGTCTTCATTCTCTCAAAAATCCCAAGATGAAAGCTTCAGGTCTCTCTGGTTCCCAAATGCTGAAGGAAGACACAGGTTAAAACTCTCCCAGGTGATCTGATGACCCAAAGGGGCGTGGCACAAAGGCAACACAGTCACATAAGTAAGAAGAGTCCCTTTAATACCTCCAATGTTGTCCCCAATGTCCAGGTTACCTTCAGCTGGAGAAAAAAAACTCTCCCAGAAAAAGTCTTTAAGTGGAGGAAATTCAGTCCGAAAACAAAGTACATACAAACCGAAAATAAAAATCCACACAAATCATGCTGCAGTAATTAACTTGACAGGGCAGGAGAAGGAATTGCAACTTGAAAGGCCAGCAAAACACACACAGTTGGGAAGACGCCAGAAACCCAGATAAGCCTCGACAATACCAGATAATTCACGATTTGCTCTCAACAGTTTGCTGTGCGAAACTTCTCTTTTTAAACACTGTGTTCCCAGCTGCAGCTAATGCAGGGAATCAGGGCCCTTTCCTCCCCCATAAGCCATGCAACTCACATTGCTCCCTTCTCCATTCCTCCCTGCATGCCCTAGGATGAAGAGGGGGTGGGCCTGGATCTTCTTCCAAATTCCCTCTGCCTTGCTCTACCTCTCCCCTGCTCTGCCCAGCCAGACTTTGCCCTTCCCCAGTTTCTTCCACAGCCAACGGAGCCACATTCCCACTCCCCGTCAGCTGCTCGGCCTCCCCTCCAACTCAGATTCCGACAGGGGCATGACAGGTGAGTTTATTTCTTTCCCTTCTCCTGCCCTCTTTCGTCTACTTATTTTTCACACTGGAAGCTGCTGGAAACCTGGATTCTATCAAAAGTAAGTACAGCACCTAAGACAGCACCTATCATCACTTCTGTGCTTTCATTGCAGATACAAGCAGGAGATTGTGAGAATGCGCAAACTCTTAGGAACAAGCGGATCTCAAGCATTGAGTGCTGAAGCATCTGAGGTTCCAGTACTGTTGATGTCCCAAGGGACCCTCAGCAAGGAAGTGTAGTTTTCTTATCATAGAAGAGCTGGAAGGGACCTTGGAGGTCTTCTAGTCCAGCCCCCTGATCAAGCAGAAGATCTTATACCATTTCAGATAAGTGACTGTCTAGACTCTTCTTAAAAACCTTCAGTAATGGAGCACCCACAACGTCTGAAGGCAGCTTCTGCTCCATAATTGTCCTCCCTGTTAGAAGCTTCTCCTGAATTCCAGGTTGCTTCTCTCCTTGATTAGTTTCCATCTATTATTTCTTGTTCTGCCCTTCTGGTGCTTTGGAAAATATCAGAATCCTTGCAAGATGTTCTCAAGAGGCCTGGACTCTTGGCCCGAGTAACAACTGGACCCAACATCTGGTACACATTCATCCCCAAGAGATATGAGGAAGGAAAAGGCTTGAAGCAGCCATGGAGGTTCCTGGGTGAAATTTAAGCTTCAAAAATGTGAATGTTTTGTTCAAAATTCTGGAATTTGTCTGTTTATGAAGAGCTTTTGATATAACACTGTGTATATATACACTGTGTGTGCATAAGAGGTGATTATGCATTCTTGGAAGGACATCCTATAAGTTTGTATAAGTTAAACAAAATCTGTCTACACTTTATTTTGACTTAGTAGGGAAGCACGAAGATCAAATATGATTCCATTCGGTCTATGTTTGATTTGTTGATTAAAAACCGCCTGTTGTGATTTATATAAATATGATTTTAGTCTCAGTTCACTTATTTTCAGTTACTGTACTGCATTACTGTTATTTCAGTTTTTTCTTCTTAACTTCACCCCTTGTTTCCTCATTTTACCCACCTCGGAAGGATGGAAGGCTGAGTCAACCCTGAGCCAGTGAGATTCGAACTGCCAAACTGCAGGCAGCTGCCAGGCAGCAGAAGTAGCTGCACTCTAACTATTGCGCCACCAGATGGAGAAATGGAGACACCCCATCCCAATGGCGAAAGCGACACCTCAGCAAAGATGGGAGTTTTTTGTTGTTGTCGCTGAGAAATTGTCATGTCCAAGATGAACATTGGCATGTTCTCACACTGGGCTCCCTTGTGACTCATCCTTCTTCAGTTGCCGGACCACCTGGACGTCGTATGCCCAGGCTTGGTTGACACCTTCCCCAGCTGTGTCAGTGTGGGTCCAGTTGGGGAGAGGAAACCGCCCAGCGACCACCCGAGCTTCTTCTGGAAGTTCCATCAGTAGCTTTTTCTCCAGAAGCATCAACTAGGAAGAAGGAGAAGAAGAAGTGTCCTTCTGAAGGATCTATTAGTCAATATGGAATAAAGACAGACCAACACAAGAAGAGTATTGAGCTCTGGGGTCCTCGGTGCTCTCTTGAGCTTGGCTGTGGTCTTGCAGATGTTTCATGACCCAACTAGGTCACATCATCAGTGCCAAGGATGCTACCTAATTGAGTCATGAAACATCTGCAAGAAAGCCACCAAGCTCAGAGAGCACCGAGGACCCGAAAGGTAGACCAGCTGTGTATTTTTGTGGCCTGAAGTTCAAGAAGATGGCATCACCTTTGAAATGGAGATGTAGTCATGGCTACCAACTTGACCGGCTTCAAGAAAGGGCTGGCTTGTTTTATGGATTCATTGAATCACTGGGTCTTGGCCTGTAGGGCAGCAGAACTGCCCCTGAAGACCATATGCTGGGAGACAAGTAAGTTTCCTTCTGTGAGAAGACTGCTGGACAAGATGGATCTAATCCAACGGGGGGACATGTTCGTATGGAATCATTTTTCAGTTGCTACCAATATTCCCTTGTTGTTTCACTGGACTCAAAGGTTATGCCTTCTACCTGAGATCTGAAGAGATCCCTACTCTTTTAGCCTTCTGATAGGCCATAAAGACCTGGTCCTCCCCCCACCCTCCCAAGAATTGGGCTAGGATGGGGTTTGAACTGAGAGATCGGTTGGTCAGTGTTTGCTTTTAAACTTTGTGGCTTTGGCTTTTCACCTTCATTTTTGTGGCTTGTGGCGAGCTAACAAGACACCACATCAATCCTGTACATAAATAAACAAACTCATATGCTGTGCTAAACCGAGTGCTGAGGTGGCCAAGAGGTGGAGCTCTCACCTCACAATCAGGACGCTGTGAATTCGATTCTCTGGTAGAGGCAGGTATTTCTCTCTCTGGGCTCAAGGAGAAAAATATCTGCTGAGATATGAACTCCGCGTTGGCGACAGGAAAGGCATCCGGTCAGTAAACACTCAGCTCCATTCAGTAGCCCAGACTCCACCCAGCAAAGGATGATGGGGTCATTAAAAGATGATGATGATCTGCTGTGCTAAACCACGGCTTGCCTTACCCGTGTTCTGTTGGATAGCCATAATGCTTGGCTCCACGTCTATCCCTATGCTAGAATGCATGACTTAGAAATTCACCGGGATGACTTCATACAACACGCTGAGCTAAATCGGAAGAGACCGTTTGATGGCTACAAAGCAGGACACAGAAGACACAGGCTTTGGAGACTTCAGGAAGCGCACAGGAAGAGTCTGCCATTCACACCCCAAGCGCCCCAGTGCCTCGACTAAATTAAACCAAACATATCCGTCTTTTACAAGGGCTAAAGGCTAAACCTCACAAGAGTTCACGGATGCTCTGGTTAAAAGTTTAGACATTTATTTTTTGTTTATTTATAACTATTCCCAATCTGCCATCACTTGGCAGATCCAGATGTCTCTCCTCCTTTCAAAGAAGAACTTAACTTTATTTTATTTATGTGTGTATGTGGTTTTTTTTTTGTTTTGTTTTAAAAGGCCAGCCTTTTTCTTCCTTGAAAGAGCAACAGTGAAAATACCCTACTGATTTTCAAAGAGGAATTGGTCTTATTACGGGTAGTCCTCCACTTATGGCCATTCCGTTTAGTGACCGTTCAAACTTTGCAACGGCACTGAAACAAAGCGACTCGCACGACTCGCGCTTCAGACCACAGGCGGTTGTCCACTTACAACTGCAATTGTGTTGCTAAGGGAGACCGCTGTTAAGTGAGCTTTGCCTCATTTTACGACATTTCTTGCTACAGTTGTTAATCACGGCGTTTGTTCCGTTAGGAACACGCTTGTTAAGTGAACCTGGCTTCCCCCTTGACTCTGCTGGTCAGGAAGTCTCAGAAAGATGGTCATTTGAACCCGGGACCCTGCAACCATCATAAATATGAGTCAGTTGCCAAGCGTCTGAATTTTGATGGCGTGACCACGGGGAATGCTACAACGGCCGTAAAGTGTGAAAAATGTTCACAAGTCACTTTTTTTCCCCAGTGCCATTGTAACTTTGAACGGTTGTAAGTCAAGGACTACCTGTATTGTGGCGTCCACATAATCATGTGATCAAAATTCACATAACTCTAAGACAAAAATAATAACTCCCCACCTAGTCAGATATCCAAGCGGTCTGGATCCATTTCATTTGCAGTGACTACTGTCTAATCCATGTGATTTTCTCCCACTGAAAGTGGCGAAGTTCTATATTGTTACACGCCATACTTATTCAGAATAGAATGAGCTGGAAGGGACCTTGGAGGTCTTCTAGTCCAGCCCCTTGCTCAAGCAGGAGAACCTATACCATTTTAGACAAGTGGCTGTCCAATCTCTTCTTAAAAACCTCCAGCGATTAAACACCCACAACAGCTGTTCCACTGGTTAATTGTCCTGTTAGGAAGTTTCTCCTTAATTCAAGGTTTCTTGGATTAGTTTCCATCCATTTTTTCTTGTCCTGCTTTCAGGTGCTTTGGAAAATAAATGGTCCCCCTTCTTCTCCGCAGCAGCCCCTCAAATACTGCAATACTGCTATCATGTCACCCCTACTTCTTCTTATACTTCACTACATCAATTTTGTAATAATTAAGTTTTACTGTGTTTCTCCTAGTTTGTTTCAAAATTTGCTTTCAAACTGATCAGTGACAGTAATAATATTTACGGTTGCCACAAACACTTCACTCCCACTACTACCATCTGCATGGATATATACTGTATTTTGGAGGGGGGGAAAAACCCTCCCCTGGAGAAAATGTGATACATACCACACTAGGTGCCAGGAACACAGTTACATTCCGACAATCTGATAAGTTCACCTTAAAAAGACAAAACATAAATTAGGGGGTGGGGGGAAAGTTTTACTTTCTGTGCAATGTTTAAGGCAGCTTCTATTAAAAAGTTCTGGAGCAAAAATGAAAAAATCTTTCTTGGTCCAACTCACTGGGTGGGTCTTCCCATTTCATTCACAAGCCATAAATAATATCGGCTTGGCTTTGACTCAGAGGGTTGTAGAAACCAAGAGATTTCGATCTGCAAAGGAGAACTTCAGGAGTTTGAACCCAGCCAAGTGCAAGAAGCAGAAGCCAAATAAACCACAACGTAGCACAAGGGCTGGTTTAGTTGCTGCAAAGATTGACCAGGATATACTTTATAGCAGTGGTCGCTGACCATTGGGCCGGCCCGGAGACCACTGGTGGTCCGCGAGACAATTTTGGTGGTCTGCAGAGAAATGTCACCTGCAAAGCAATTAATCCAGGCTGTGCGGGAACACAAGGCTTCACCACCCACATGGCCCATGGGGACACAAGGCTTGTGTCACTTGCATTGAAGAAGTTTCGCTTCTCACTCAAAAAGCTTCTTCAGCTCTGAGTGTATGGTGGGGGAATGGAAGGATTTATACCCCTTGCAGACAACGGGTCATTTGCATCCTTTTAGACTGTGTGTGAATGCAACCCGCCATCCAGTCGGAGCTGATGAAGCTTCTTGGATGAGAAGTGAAATGAAAGAAAAAACAAGAAAGTCCAGTTGCCTCTTGAAAAAAGCACCTTTGGGACATCCATGACCTGGAGGACTGAGAATCTCTACAGACTTTTAGCTATGCAATTTGGGATGAACACCCTTTGAATGGCGTGGGAATAGGAATGGATTTTTAGAGAAAAAATATTGCAGACTGCAGGAACAATTTGCATGATTCAGGTGACCCTGAGGACACAGATAAACCTCCAAGTGGCCTCAACGACTATCTAAAAAGGATGCAAATGACCAGCTGTCAGCAAGGAATATAAATCCTTCCCTTCCCCACTATCCTGTCAGAGCTGAAGAAGCTTCTTGGATGAGAAGCAAAACGTCTTCAAAGAAAAACCAGAAAGCCCAGCTGCCTCTTGAAACAAAAAAACACTTTTGGGATTATGCTCAGAATTCCAATATCTTTCCCTTTTTTCCTCACCTTCCAAAGGTCTTCCTTGTAGTAAGAAACTTTTCCGTAACACCCAGCTTTCCACGCACGATAGCTGGAAAGTCGCAACAGCCATGGATTGAGTTCATAGCCAACAGCTGGCCTGAAGCCTTGTTTGTAAGCTTCCAGGACCTGCAAATATAAATAAACCAAGTTTGTTTATTTCCTGGATTTGTATCCATCAGAAGCACAAGGAGCTGCTTTCCAGGAGATCAAACAAACCATCTTAATCTGGTTTTATTCTGATTGAGTGCAGCTCTCTTAGGATTCGGGGAAAGAGAGAGACAGCTCCATCTCCTAGTTAATTTAACTGGAAATATCCAGAAGTGAACCTCCAAATTTTGAATGGTTTCATCTTTCCATTTTTAACAGAGTTCGGGAGTATTTTAGGATCTCAAAAGAGCACCAAAGGTTACATAACTCTTGACACAGCAACAGAACCAACCCACAGAAGAAGGAAAAAAAAAACAATATAACTGAAATACTGCACACAGCTCTCAAGCCATGCCATTTCTGTGGCAAAATAAAATAAAATATTAAATATAAATATACAATAAAATAAAATATGAAGGAGGATAACGAGCAACAGGGCAAACTAAACTTCCCCAGATTGCAACTATCTTAAGGCAAGCAAAATAAGTTTTTTTTTTTAAAATTAAAGTTTAAAATACAAAATTGCAACCAAAAAGGCGAGGATCGATAGAAAAAGTTTTTAAAATGGCACAAAATCACATTTTAAGTAAGGAAATGAATAAAAAAATGTTACTTCCAACTCTCTTCAATATTATTACCTAATAAAAGGCACTTTTCTTTCAGTTTAACAAAAGAAAAAAAGATACAAAACTAAAAATATTAAGATATACAAATCAAACTATCAACTAATAACAGCAACAATGTACAGTATAATATCATCAACAAAGGGAGATTTTTCCAGAAATCAGAGGTCATGAGGAAAATAGAAAAAAACAGGTCAGACTCCAGATATCCTGGTTAAGTTAGAGGTGAGCCAACTTTATCCACATTTTTTGTTTTAGGCCCTGTATCACCTTTTGTTCACACTCCCAAAATTTCAGCCTCATGGTTTCCTGTCGTTTTCAGGCAGAAATCAAAATAAAATGCTTAAAAATTTTAATGCTTAAAATTAAAAAAAGAAAAAAGACCCCCTCTCTCAAAAATCCTGTCAAGAGAAACCTCCCCCCCAAAAAAACCACCCCTCACTCCCTCAAGCTCATAATACAGTTAGTCCTTGACTTATGACCACAATTGAGCCCACAATCTGTGTCGCTAAGCGAGACGGTGGTTAGAGGTGAGTTTTGCCCCATTTTACGATCTTTCTTGCCACAGGTCTTAAGTGAATCACCATGGGGGGGCTAAGTTAGTAACAGTCGTTAAGTGAATCTGGCTTCCCTATTGACTTTGGCCATCAAGGCGGTCGCAAAAGGGGATCATGTGACATCCCCCCTGGGACGCTGCAACTGTCATAAACGTGAGTCAGTTACCAAGTGTCCAAATTTTGATCAGGTGACCAAGGGGATACGGCAATGGTCATCAATGGGTGGGATTCAGCTGGTTCAGACCGGTTTGAGTGAACTGGCTGTTAAATTTGCATCTGGTTCACCAAACCGGTATTTGAATCAATTGGCTGGCCCCACTCACCCCTCCCCGGAGTCTCAACGTGGCCCATTTTCGATGCAGGTAAGTGCAGGGTCTGGGAGGGGGAAAAGTGGACCTTCTGGAAGTACCGAAAGTCCACAAATGGGCCTGTTTCCGGCTTCCGGAGGGCCTCCAGAGGCCCGGGGAGGCTGTTTTTGCCCTCCCAAAGGCCCGGGGGGAGGCCTCTGTACCCAAGGGGAAAATACCGGTAGGCTACACCCACCCAGCAACTGGGCAACGAACCAGTTGCTGGGATTTTTGAATCCCATCCCTGGTTGTAAATGTGAAAAACGGCCATAATTGACTCTTTTCAAAGCTGCTATAACTTTGAAGGGTCACTAAATGAACTGTTGTAAGTCCCTTCGCTGTTGAACACGGGGTGTCGTGGGTGAGCTCTGTTTGCGTCATCACCACCCTTACAACGCTCTGCTCCTCTCCGTATGAAATCCAGTGGCTGGCCGAAGGACTTCACAAGTTCCCCCGTGAGCAGCGAAATATCTTTTATTTATGACCCCCCCCCAAAAAAAGGACTTCCCCGTGTCCCATTTTAATGCTCGCAGAAGAACACAGCAAAGCCATGAGATTTTCTTACAATTCTGCCATCCCCGGAGCCCAGATCTACGATCTTCCCAGAACGTCCTTTGAGTAACTGCATCACGTTCTCCATTTGTTTAGCACTTGCTGGGATGTAGGGGACCTGAAGGAAGAAGAGAGAAATTGGTATTCTACCCGGGAGTAAATGAATTCAGAGATTCTCCATCATCCAGGCCATGGGTTGTCCCAGAGGTGCTTTTTCAACAGGCAACTGGATTTTTTTTTTTTAGTTTTTCTTTGAAGATGATTTACACAGGAACCATTTGCGGTTTAGTTTGAGATGGAGACAACACAGACTCATCCCCGACAGCCTGCGTTCAACAGTGAAGGGACACAGGGCACAAAAACATCCTGCAGAAAGCACAGCTCCACAACACAGTCCTTTCAACAGTCCCAAGAAGGCTCCACACCCATTTGCACCACTCAGGTGACCCTGAGGACACAGATAAACCTCCAAGTGGTCTCACTGACTCTCTAAAAAGAATGCAAATGACCAACAGTCTGCAAGGAATATAAAACCTTCCATTCCCCAGCATCCAGTCAGAGCTGAAGGAGCTTCTTAGATGAAAAGCGAAACGTCTTCAAAAGAAAAATGAATTTCAAGTAGGCTCCACACCCATTTGCACTATTCAGGTGACCCTGAGGACACAGACAAACCTCCAAGTGGCCTCAACGGCTCTCTAAAAAGAATGCAAATGACCAGCTGTCTGCAAGGAATATAAAACCTTCCATTCCCCACTATCCTGTCAGAGCTGAAGGAGCTTCTTGGATGAAAAGCGAAACGTCTTCAAAAGAAAAACCAAGAAAGTCCAGTTGCCTCCAGAAAAAAAAACATACACCTTTGGGAAAACCATGACCTGGATGATTAAGAATCTCCATAGACTCCCCCCCCCCTTTTTTTTGCACTATTTTTATTGAACATTTTTCAACAGTTTATAACACATGTACACTCTTTAAAATGCTACAACATCGCAAGTACTCATATATGCATAATAATAACATTGTTAATCTTTGCTTTTATTATCTAGCCAATTGTACCATGCATCCCAGACCAAATAATATTCCGATTCACCTCTAACTTTTAATTCTAGTGGGAGCCTGTCCATCTCCGTGCAGTCTAAGAAGATCTTTTTTATCACTATCCCCTCGGAGGGGATATTATCATGTTTCCAGTTTTGTGCATACACAATTCTGGCTGCAGTCGTTATATGTAAAATAATATATTTATCTCTGCTGTATTCTCCTCGTATTATCCCCAGCAAAGGGATAATTATCCATAGACTTTCCTGCCGTATCTTAAAAGTTTTGACTTCAAAAATCCTCTCCAGGGCTCAACATGTAAAAGTCAAGGATGGAGGAGAAAACAAACTGCCCCCACTCTCCATCCCCATTTTCTCCCTGGCCTGCACAACTCAGTGCCATTCTCCCCTTTAAAAGCCTTATTCGGTTACTGGGTTTTACCTGTAGTTTTAAGGGCACCTTGCGGAAACCGGGCATAAGAATTCCTGCCCACACGACATAAGCTGTCAAGCCAGTGCCGGCTGCAATTTGCAAAACATCCCAGCCGTCTATTTTCTTGCCTTGTAACTCAGCAGCCACCTGTTCAACATCTTCTGGATCCATCTTTTCTGTAAATTAATTCTATTGAACTCAATCGGGTTTAGCACTAGTTCAGTAGATGTTAAGATTGCCATTTTAGTTGTCCTAAAAACCTTCTTTTCCCTCTTTTCCATATGGGGTTGGATTAATATGTCTTCTCAAATCTTAGTTAAATTCCGTACCAATTTACAGACACAGAGATTTTGCTTAGCCACTGCACCAAACACGTTTTCTTTTGCAAATTAAGAATATTTAATCAGAAACCCACCCCGCAAAATGCAGATTGTTAAGACTTTGGAAGATATGCAAACAAAATCTTTGCTGCATTGTTCATCCTGCCACAGTATAAACTACTACAATAAACAGCCCTGAACCAGAGTATTCAGCTGGTTCTGACCAGTTGTGGCGAACCGGTAGCGGAAATTTTGAATAGTTTGGAGAACCGGCAAATCCCACCTCTGACTGGCCCTGCCATCCCGCTCTATTCTTTGCCTCCTGAGTCCCAGCTGATCGGCTGGGTCTTCTTTGGTTGCCCTGCCCAGGAGAACGGAGCTGGAAAGCAGGTTAGTGGGGTGAGGAGGGAATGGGGATTTTGCAGGATCCTTCCCCTGCCACGCCCACCAAGCCACACCCACCATATCACGCCCACCAAACTGCGCCCCACAGAACCGGTAGTAAAAAAAATATGAATTCCCACAACTGCCCTGAGCCACTCCTTAAAACCTCTCCCAGCCAGTCCTACTTTGCAGGGCTGTTTGCCATAAGAAGGAGAACAATATCGTTCCCCCATTTAATTGCAAGAATGCATGCAGATCTCTTCCCAGCAACTCAGCACAATTGCAAGATGGATGGTCTGGAAATAAAATACAGGTGGTTTTCGACTTACAACCACAATTGAGCCCAAAATTTCTGTCATTAAGCAAGACATTTGCTCAGTGAATTTTGCCCCATTTTAAGGACCTTTCCTGTCCCAGCTGTTCAGTGAAGCACTGTAGTTGTGAAGTGAATCTGGCTTCTTTGACTTTGCTTGCTGGAAGGTCACAAAAGTTGGTCCCCTGACCCAGGACCCCGCAACCGTCACAAATATGAACCAGTTGGCAAGGGTCCGGGGTTTTGATCACGTGACCTCAGGGACGCTACAACCGTTCTAAGTGTGAAAAATGGTCCTAAGTCACTTTTTTTCAATTTTCAAATGGGCATAAGTTGCTTTTTTGAACTAAATGAACTATTGTAAGTCAAGGACTACCTGTAAGGCAGAGAGAGAAAGTTGCTCCAGGGCATGGGCAGAGTGCACGTCCCAGCTGGGGACAAGAAATAGATTTCCAACCACACCAAGGGACAGAGCTACTGCAGATTTGCACTCAGAAGCCGGCTTGGTTTCTTTCTTTCTTTCTTTCTTTCTTTCTTTCTTTCTTTCTTTCTTTCTTTCTTTCTTTCTTTCTTTCTTTCTTTCTT